GCCATATATCTAAATAAAAGGATATTAGTTAAAATAAAGTTTTCAGTGGTTTGAAATCATTTCACAGCTTATGAATCAAGTATTAATTCTTTGTTATAATTTTCGCTACTTTTACATATGTTTAAACTTCATCATAATCAATCTCGTCAGTGTGAGGCTCTATTTTTAGTACAAATATTGGAAATTAGTACGATTACTGGGGCAGAGGTTACATGATCGGATTCGTTAATAAATGCCTGCCTATCATCGCAACAAGAGTACGAAAACAAATCCAGCCAACTATCTAAAGATAAAAGAGACTTCAACCAAACGTAAGACGATAGTAAATTCTAGGGTATATCAATTTTGGCCTTTCGAAAAAATTTACCATTTGGTAAGAAACGCATTTAATCTTATTTTCAAGACTAATTACTTTAATAATTTTTGAATAAGCGAAAGAAAATAAAGTGTTATGATCGGCAAATTACAAAAATCTAAAATCCCGTTCCTCAATCTAACAAAAAATGTGAAACAATATATTATAATTAAAAAGTAAACATATATCCCATCTGTACTTGATTCAATAATTGCTGTAAAAAAGTGCATGTATATAAACAAAAAATTACTGATTAATTGATCCTAAGATTAATCAAACTAATGTTGTTTTATTATCCCCACTAGCCTGGAAGGCGGTTCGTTCACCCCTTCCCTTCTCACACCTAATATGCTTCCTCTATTTTGTTAGTGTTCATGACTTTTTATTCCATTTAACTCACAATCAAGGATTTTGGGAATTAAAAATGGTTTCATGTGATTCCTATGATCAGAGCTTATCTATGAACGACGAGGACTCTAATGATGCGGCTGATCAAACATCGTCTGATGACAGTCGTCAAATACTTATCGAGAGTTCGTACTTCGGGCAACCTAATGAAACAAACAACAAAATTTCTGCTATTCCTCGTTTAAAAACTAATTTGTATTGTATGCAAATGGCAAGTCGGGAAGAATGCGCTAAGCAGATATACGGCAGAAAAATTGCTCTTGATGCGTGTCTCGTAGGCGAGTTGAAGGCTCCTAATTGGCGTCAGAATAGTTCTGGGTATGCCAAGATTTCGGTGCCTCCATGTACATTTACGACTGCTTCTGGTGGTTCAGGGATGAAAATGTACCCATATTCTACCCAGACATCATGTGAGCCTAGCTAATCATTCTGCTTACTTGAGCTATCGAAAAATTTATCTATTTCTTACTATTTGCCTCCACCACTTTTATAGGTGGATGTACTCTTCTTTCCCAAAATGAGCATCACAATTCTCGAAGGCGGATTGTATGCTCTCGCTGTAGAAGCCATCGGACCTCATCATCTATGTTTCCCTTATCCGTTCCTCCTCGATCAATTCTCGCTTCTCAAATCCAGCCTGCTAGCACTCATCTTCATTCTTCAGCTTATAATCAGCAGGCGGCCCACCAGCATTCAGGCCTTGCAGCTTCGCAGCAGCAACAACACAGTTCTACTCCATCATCGTTTTTTACTCAGTCTTCTTGCGATAATGAATCATCCACTTGCCCCTCTATTCTGGCGAAATCTATTCGCTTGCATGGTCACCACTTATCTTCGTTTATTAATCACCAACCGCCCCATCAAGTGGCACTAGTGCCTCATTCACAGCCTCAATTTCAAAATTCTGTGGCATTATTTCAAAACCAACATAGCTTGAGGCAGTGTCGAGAAACAAGTTTTTCTATGCCCGCATTGCGAGGCTTCGAAATGTATGCTCATCTGTTAAGGGATATTCACATTCGTTAAAAGCGCTCTGAACCTAGATACTGTCGCCATTGGTATTATTATTATTATAGTAACCATCTAAATGATTGTGGCATCTTACATAAAAACGGATTGTTGACTTCTCAAGTGATTATGTTACTACATTTCCATTTGAATCAACTTGCTCGTTTCTGTAAACATTTATGTATTGTTGTTCTTAATCGGAAAGTAATTTCTCCTTAGCCATAGTTTGTTTCCGTGCTAATTCTGATCGAACTAGATTTTTACATTTTAGCATCATTATTTTTTGGTTTATTTTAAGTTTTTTTTTCAATCTTTCCAGCAGACACGCTAAACAACGTGCCAAAGTGATTTAATCGATATGCTTCTTATCCAGCTCGGCTTGTCTGGGATTCATTCGATCCCTAATTTCTCTATCTATCTTGAGTAATTGTCTTGATGTTTTTGCTACACGTTATCAGAACTAGTATCACGCTTTTTCTCACTTGCGACGACATTTATACCATACCATTTCTCCCGATTTGTTAACGTTTATCTCAATCCTTGCACCCCATTGTATTCATGGACAACGGTAACGCGGCCTATCATTTAGGAACTTGGACCGCCTCGTCCTCCGTTTTTGTTTATGCTTTCAATTCATTTGCTTTTTGCATTTGTACCTCCCATTTTCAGTTCTCTCCGTCTAGGTCGAGTAGGATTTGAGAGATTGTTGACTTTGGA